GTTGGCAAATATGTTTCCCCTTCTGTGGGCTGTCGGGATTGTTCACTTTAAGATTAATTAGTTAGGCCGGGTGCAGTGGTTCACCCCAATAAGCCCAGCATTTTGGGAAGCAGAGGCGAGAGGACTGCTTGAGCCCAGGAGTTTAAGACCAGTCTGGGCAACATAGCGAGACCTTGTCTACAAAAAAAATTGAGAAATTATCTGAGTGTGGTGGCACACACCTGTAGCCCCAGCTGCTCAGGAGGCTGAGACAGCAGGATCACCTGGGCCCAGGAGGTCAAGGCTCCAAGGAGCCGTGATCATGCGACTGCACTCCAGCCTGGGCGACAGAGTGAGACCCCCGACTCAAAACAAACAAACAAAAACCAAAGATTAAGTAGTTGGAGCAACGGACTGGCCACCTCCCTCTCCCAGACAGCCCCAGAGGAAGGTCAGAAGATACATGGCCCTGGAGAAAGCACCAGAGCTCCCCACCAAGTCTCCTGTCAGATTATGCTACACCCACTTACTCAGCACCCCGATTCAGTCCACTTTTCAAGAGAACGTTTGGTTCCTGCTGTGTGGGAGGCACTCCCGTAAGCGCTGAGCCTCCCGAGAAAACTCAAGCAGGTTCCTGCTCTCGGGGGCTTCCGGTCTTTCAGAAGAGGTGGCTGAGGCACGGCATTGAGAAGGGCCCTGACCCCTCGGTGGGCAGAAGCCCCCACGGGGCTCCCTGGGAGTGTAGGCGTGGAGGTGGGCTTCCGCCGGATAAGGAGCTAGGGTGGAATCCGGGCAGGAGCCGGCAGGTGCCCTGCAGACGCCCGTGTGGACCCCGCCTGGTGGCTCGGTCCCTGGGGTGGGGGCGGGGGTGTCTTCTCCCGGCGGCCGCAGACAGGCTCCCCCTGGAAGGACGCGGTGCTCGCCGGGTCCTCACCGCACCCTGCGCCTCGCCCCGTCGCCAGCCCGCTTCGGGTGCCAGGGCCCGGTGGGCTCTTCTTACGGCCCGAGGGGCGCCGTGGCAGATGAGTACGCCGAGGCTCCCAGAGGGTTCGAGTTCTATTCACCTGGAAGAAAACCGAGGCTGATCCAAAGCCTGGGGGAGAAACGGACCGGGTGAGGGGCGCAGAGTGGGCTGCGGCCGCCGGCC